TGCTCGCGCACATCAGCTATACAGGCGTTAATACTGAATGTTTAACGTTATATTCATTGCATACATATACTTCATAGTAGACATCCTTGACTCCATTCTGCTGTCTGTTGTTCTGTTGTGGGTGTTTCTTTGTCTGAATATGGCGCTTATCACATGCTGTGTGGTATCGGCGTTTGGTATCGGGGCATTTTAACGAGTACGAGTACGAGTACAGGAGCTCAGTATCGGGCCCGATACCGATATCCCTATTTAAAAGATTACAAAAATCACATAAAAAGAAGCGGCTTGGTTTGCGGTGGCAAGGGAAACAGGAGCAGATGGTACGTTTGAACAGTGAAACGTGTAATTTTATGTGATGTTTTTACTGCATGAGATTTGTATGTGTGTGTACTTGATTAACTATACTTGTGACAGATTGTAAACACTTAAATAGAAAAGAATTATGACTAGTGAGTTGTGTGTATTGTGAAAACCTTGGTGTGTGATGTCATATCCTGCTCCCGCCCCGTTTTCGCAGCACCGTCCGAACTAATTTCACATGCTGAAAGTCTAGTGTGACCGCAGCTTTACTCTCCTAAATAACCCATCCAGGAACGCTAAATGGGAGGAATCTTCTGCAGGCAGAGCATGTTTTTAAGTAAATATAATGGGCGATATATTGCGTCACCAAAAATTATTGAGGTCATGTACATAAATTGCACGATAAGTCGATATATTGATTATTGCGACAGGCCTAAAAGCCACCTCTGAAACTAGGCCTGGGAGATGAAACGGTATCGGTACTTATCGACGGTACACCTTCATCAATGATGATAGAAAAAATGTTAGATATAGCGCACGATATAGGCACAGACAGCCCACAAACACATGCTGAAATGAGTGGTGTGCCTGCCTGTGATGAGGAGATTGTGAATAAAGAATGAATATCAGTCGAATTTAAAATAACAAAAATTACATTTGAATGCAAAAATGGTGCAATCGAATGTTATGTGTGCGTCCGGGAGCCTTATCAGTGCTTTGTATTAAGCAATGCATAAATACATGATGCTGTTTTGTTCATAATTTTTTATGCAATTTATGAAATTATATTTGATTTATATATGTTAATTCAGACGTTATGCACGTTTTTTATAGACAGTTATTTCATTGCACTGAATAAACAATTTAATGTGCTGCATTATTTTGCTCATTGCGCCCTTCTGTGGCCTCGGGAGACAAGACAAAAGTTTCCTTAAGACTTATTTAATCTGCATATAAAACATAAGGAGATATGTGTTTAAATTTTGTGTTTGACTGTTAAAACAAAACAAAAAAATATTTGTTGTCTTAATAAATTGGGTAAATTAAAAATACAGTGGTTAAATAAAAAAAAAAATCTATTGCTCTTTGTTTTAAAAAGGGTTATAAAATATGTCAATAATTATCGATACCGAACAATATGAAACATTATATCGTTGATACATTTTTTAGCTATATCGCCCAGCCCTAGGTATAGGTTATGTAGAACCCAAACAAACTATAAAAATATGCTGTTCTGTATTTTCAATTTTGACATACTATGACTGCATAAAACGCTATTAGCTACAACAGGATAATGTGAAAGCTTTTTGATCAGGCATTACAAAAAGCTATACCTTAGGGGTACACATTTATCACTAGGGTTTATCAAAAACTCTGCATTTCATCTGGGATGAAAATAAAGGAAAATAAAATACACACTAAGACAGAGCAAGATAAGGACAGAGGAAGACCTTAGTATATGTTTTTACATTAAAAAGCTAAGAGAGAGAGTGAGAAAGAGAGAGGGGGGATTGACAGAGAAAGACAGCTTACTTCATGACTTTGCTAATGAGGAGACTGGCTCTGCTCTTGGGTGGAGTTGACAGGCTGGTAGCTCCACCTTCTGCTGTGACACCTTCTTTGTGTTCTTCAACCCGAAGCTCTGCCTCCTCTCCACCTGTGATGCTCTCTGATTTGTAGCTAAATATGATCGTGGGTTTCTGGTGTGGGTCATCTGTCTTGGACTCTGAAAACCAGTGCTGTCTCTGTACAGGTGGAGGAGGCAGTACGGTGATGACAGTCCCATCCAATCCCAGCAGCTTCCCTTTTTCCTTCTCTCGTTCCATTTTCTCTTTCTGTTCATCCTCGTCCTTCCGCCGGCGGAAGAAACTCTTGAAGGATATCCAGCGCTTGGGCTTGTTACTGTCAGTCGAACGTCTGCCCTCTGCACCAGGACTGGTCTCTCCATCACTAGGTTTGGCCCCAGCTGGTCTGGTCCAGTTGCTGAAATGCCTCTGAAGTAGGTTGCTTGAGTGGTAAGGAGAGGAGCTAGAACGGGCTGGGGGAAATGGGGGACTAGGTTGGCCCCAGCTGGTCTGGTCCAGTTGCTGAAATGCCTCTGAAGCAGGTTGCTTGAGTGGTAAGGAGAGGAGCTAGACCGGGCTGGGGGAAATGGGGCACTAGGTTCAGATTTGGGGCTTGTGGGTGGTACAGCAGCAGAGGCACTCTGAGATTTGGGAAGGACTTTAGGTGGTGTGTCTTTTTGAGGTTCTGCAGAACAGTGGAGTGATTTAGGTCTGTTAAGAGCATCTCTGGAAGCATCTGGTGGCAACGAGTAAAGCTCCTCAGCACTGCATGTCTTACTCTGGCCAGCAGGGGAGTCTGGAGGAGAAGGCGGCGGCTGAATGGAGGCCACAATTTGAGACAGAACAGCACTTGCTTTCTCTCTCTGACCTGAACTTCCATTCGATGTGACCTGGCAATCTTTGCTGCCCTCTGCTGCTTTCATCCCAACTGTCATGCTCTCCATCGTCGTCATCCTCATCACCACTCTCATCCTCCTCATCGTCACCATCACTGGAGAATTCTGGATAACAGAAACGTCCTCCCTCAGAACTGATGACCTCTGCACTGTCACTGAGGGAAACACGTTTCATTGCTCCTCTACCACTACTCCCAGCATGGAGGCAGCTTGATGCTGGAAGGCCCCTCTCTAACGAGCGCTGGTATGAACTGCAGATCCGGCCAAAGAAGTCATCTCTACTTGAGCTTGGAGAAGGTCCCAGGCCAGCAATCTCTTTTAGCACATCCGTCAGTCCGTTGTTATTGCTGCTAGTTGGCTGCAGGGAAATTGCACCATATGCCTCTGTTTGCCTGACCAAATCCTCCCCTTGATTGTTGTTTGTCCCTGTGGGTCTCGAGCTATTCCGGCTGTTGTGGTTCCACACAGTGAAAGGTGAGCTTTTAGTGACCTGTGCTCCTTCTGTAAGCCTTGGCACATTTCCCTCTGAGTCCAACCCTGCTGGGGAGCATGGCAGCATCATAGTAGGCTTTACTGCAATAGTAGGCTTCTTTGCAACAGGTGGGCGGACCTGCCCTGCACGAGATGAGGAAATGCTCCTCTGGCTGTTTGTGAGTTTGGCACTGATGTTTGTCTTGCTCTCACTGGCAGCATTGGCTTGCTCTGGAGGCCGGTGAAGGCTCTTGGGCTTAAAGCAGTTTTTGCACTCCCCTGGTTTCCACACATGTTCAGTGAAGGTGTTGCATGCAGACATGACTGCAGGGCAGTGCTGCAGCATCAGTGGACAGGAAAGCCCTCCATCACACACAAACTAAAGGCTGAACGTCGCTCCCACACACAGTTTGCAAACTGTGCCCTCAGTACCTGTAAAAAAGAATAACAGAGTTAGCCAGTGTTATTTTGAAACCAA